GTGACCTCTCACACAACAGGTCAGTGACCTCTCACACAACAGGTCAGTGACCTCTCACACAACAGGTCAGTGACCTCTCACACACAACAGGTCAGTGACCTCACACACAACAGTCAGTGACTCTCACACAACAGGTCAGTGACCTCTCACACAACAGGTCAGTGGCCTCTCACACAACAGGTCAGTGACCTCTCACACACAACAGGTCAGTGACCTCTCACACACAACAGGTCAGTGACCTCTCACACAACAGGTCAGTGACCTCTCACACACAACAGGTCAGTGACCTCTCACACACAACAGGTCAGTGACCTCTCCACAAAAGCAGGTCAGTGACCTCTCACACACAACAGGTCAGTGACCTCTCACACAACAGGTCAGTGACCTCTCACACAACAGGTCAGTGACCTCTCACACAACAGGTCAGTGACCTCTCACACAACAGGTCAGTGACCTCTCACACACAACAGGTCAGTGACCTCTCACACAACAGGTCAGTGACCTCTCACACAACAGGTCAGTGACCTCTCACACACAAAAGGTCAGTGACCTCTCACACAACAAGTCAGTGACCTCTCACACAACAGGTCAGTGACCTCTCACACAACAGGTCAGTAACCTCTCACACAAAACAGGTCAGTGACCTCTCACACACAACAGGTCAGTGACCTCTCACACAACAGGTCAGTGACCTCTCACACACAGCACGTCAGTGACCTCTCACATAGCACGTCAGTGATCTCTCACACAACACGTCAGTGACCTCTCACACACAACACGTCAGTGACCTGTCACACCCAACATGTCACCACATAGTTAACTGGTAGTTCCTTTAGCCCACAAAAAAATAATCAGGGTTCGATCAAGGGACGGGGACCAGTACCTCCTCTTCTCCCAGAAACAAACAGGTGTTTTGAAGGAAAATTTAATACCAAGCTCTCTCGTGTTCTCTCAGGTACATTATCAGAGCAAAAAATAATAACTGATATGTGATACATTCGCTTTATCGAGCATTATTTACAAAATTTTGATTTAGAGAATTTCATTTTCTAAATCTTAATCAAAATCATTGCGTTATCGCACTGACAACGCCACTATAACGCCTGTAGGCTGTCTGCGGTGCGAGGAGGAGCACTCCAAGGTCTTCAGAATTTAGAAGAGCTGGACTTGTCTTCTAATTTCCTGCCGGAGATACCAGCCAGCGCCTTGAAGGACCTGACTAAGCTGAAGACGCTGGTCATGCATGATAACCTCATCCAGGTAGGATATAACCTCAACCAGGTAGGATATAACCTCAGCCAGGTAGGATATAACCTCAACCAGGTAGGATATAACCTCAACCAGGTAGGATATAACCTCAGCCAGGTAGGATATAACCTCAACCAGGTAGGATATAACCTCAGCCAGGTAGGATATAACCTCAGCCAGGTAGGATATAACCTCAACCAGGTAGGATATAACCTCAACCAGGTAGGATATAACCTCAGCCAGGTAGAATATAACCTCAGCCAGGTAGGATATAACCTCAGCCAGGTAGGATATAACCTCAGCCAGGTAGGATATAACCTCAACCAGGTAGGATATAACCTCAGCCAGGTAGGATATAACCTCAACCAGGTAGGATATAACCTCAGCCAGGTAGGATATAACCTCAGCCAGGTAGGATATAACCTCAGCCAGGTAGGATATAACCTCAGCCAGGTAGGATATAACCTCAGCCAGGTAGGATATAACCTCAGCCAGGTAGAATATAACCTCAGCCAGGTAGGATATAACCTCAGCCAGGTAGGATATAACCTCAGCCAGGTAGGATATAACCTCAGTTAGGTAGGATAAGACGATATTATCCAAGTATGATATGATAACCTCATGAAGGTAGAACATGGTAATCCATCCAGGTAGGACATGGTAATCCATCCAGGTAGGACATGGTAATCCATCCAGGTAGGACACGGTAATCCATCCAGGTAGGACATGGTAATCCATCCAGGTAGGACATGGTAATCCATCCAGGTAGGACATGGTAATCCATCCAGGTAGGACATGGTAATCCATCCAGGTAGGACATGGTAATCCATCCAGGTAGGACATGGTAATCCATCCAGGTAGGACATGGTAATCCATCCAGGTAGGACATGGTAATCCATCCAGGTAGGACATGGTAATCCATCCAGGTAGGACACGGGAAACAAATAGTAATAGTGACATGTGAACTCTGTGGTACAATTTTTTTCAAGTCTATAGAGAATAGAGGGAAGGTGTCGTGAGGACACCAGGTGAGGACACCGGGTGAGGACACCGGGTGAGGACACCGGGTGAGGACACCAGGTAAGGAAGTGTGAGGTACTAGTCTGTATCAGCTACATCACTGCCACAGTAACCAGTAGTATCAAAGACATGGGCTACATATCAACCCCGTGAAGACTGTAGCCATCTACATCATCTCTTGTTGTAGTTGTAGTGGGATAATTCATGCGAATGAAACTCTTACGGATTTAGTCACACGCGAATTTGAACGCGTCCAGGTGCACATCCAGGGACCAGGAGCCATGAATCGACCCCTGCAATCACAAGTAGGTGAGTACATATGTGCTTATTAGGTAAAAGTACACAAGTGCAACTAATGTGACTTTTACTGTGGCAACGTTTCGCTCTCCAAGAGCTTTGTCAAGCAGTGACAAATAATACAGAGGGTATATATAGGGTATATATACAGAGGGTATATATAGGGTATATATACAGAGGGTATATATAGGTATTAGTGTGGAGTGCAAACCGTAATATAATCGTTGTAGGTAGTAACAGTAATGGCAGTAGTAGTACTATTAGTGTTGGCAGTAGTAGTAATAGTCAGATTGTTATTGTTATTACGACTGATCCCGTAAGCTGGATCACCGATCTGATTCCGCGGAATTCCTCAGACTCTGGGAGGTGTGGTGGCCCTGGGACCCCTGGTGAGCCTGCAGCAGCTGGACCTGACCAGGAACAATATCGGGGAGCTTCCTACAGGCACCTTCAGGCAGCTCTCCGGCCTCAGGTCGCTCAAGCTAGGTGTCAACTCCATCAGGAAGGTCAGTCAGCAACAAGAACTTTATTAATGTCATTATTATTATTATTATTATTATTATTATTATTATTATTATTGATGGTGTGGTTTGTTGTTGATCTTGAACATAATAGTTCCATTTAGTTTTAAATTAAATGGATGATCTTTATATGTTTACAAATTAGCAAAACGTGTGGCTAGTGGTTTATCACCGTGAGAGAGAGAGAGAGAGAGAGAGAGAGAGAGGGGAGGAGAGAGAGAGAGAGAGAGAGAGAGAGAGAGAGAGAGAGAGAGAGAGAGAGCTGATCTCATACCTGATTTCCTTGGCACTCACCTCTCGTCATTTTTACAGGTTGAGAAGGATGCTTTCGAAGGCCTGACTTCTCTGGAGATCTTGCAGCTGGACGATGACAACATCCTGGCTATACCATGGGCAGCCCTAGCTAAGGTCTGACCTGTGTGTTCTTACCAGTAAATAAATAATGAAAGTGAAGACAAGCACAACACACACACACACACACACACACACACACACACACACACACACACACACACACACACACACACACACACACACACACACACACACACACACACACACACACACACACACACACACACACACACACACACACACACACACACACACACACGCGCGCGCGCAAAGCAAAGAATGATATCAGTGTTATGACTGATGCCCCTGTCTATCAGAAATGAGAATGAGGAAAAAATGGGGTGAGTACTGTCTTGGGGGACAGAACTCTTCACTAAGCAGCCCCTGATTTCACTCTTTCTATTACTCTTTGAGTTCTATTGGTTAAAAGTTAAATATACATTTGCCCACCATGTAATGGGAGGTAATCATGTTGGCCTGTAACTTAGGCCAGTAGGTGACTTGGATCTTCTTAGCATGGGTCAGTCGGCCTGCTGCAGTGTTCCTTCCTTCTTATGTTCTGATGCTGTGACAAAAGGGAGAGAGATATTTCCCTTTCCTTAGTTAAAGAGGCCTTTACCAGTATCAAAGCACCGTCTTCTTGAGTCCTTCCTTATACACATCACTACCTTGAATCTTAGTTCCAGGTTTGTTTTCGTACATGTTTATCTTTGAGACTCGGTGTGTTTGGAGAAGGGATACCTTCTTGAGACTCGGTGTGTTTGGAGAAGGGATACCTTCTTGAGACTCGGTGTGTTTGGAGAAGGGATACCTTCTTGAGACTCGGTGTGTTTGGAGAAGGGATACCTTCTTGAGACTCGGTGTGTTTGGAGAAGGGATACCTTCTTGAGACTCGGTGTGTTTGGAGAAGGGATACCAAACTCTGTCAACTGTCACATGTCCTGCTCTTCAGAACACACATGACATGGCTCGCTCCTGGCTGCTGCCTTCCCTCCCACTTTCGTCCCTCCCACTGCTTTCCCTCCCACTGCCTTCCCTCCCACTTTCGTCCCTCCCACTACCTTCCCTCCCACTTTCGTCCCTCCCACTGCTTTCCCTCCCACTGCCTTACCTCCCACTGCCTTCCCTCCCACTGTCTTCGCCTGACTTTCTCACCTGTCATACTCTTACATGACTTATCATTATATTAATGGCATTCAGAACCAGCAAGCTGATAAATAAGACACATGTTCAACTCTTGCAATAAGACACACGTGCAGCAACTGCAATAAGACACATGTGCAACTCCTGACTATCTTAACTGTAAAGACATCTGATCGACCAGTGGTTTTACTAATCCAATAAAAATAATAACACACACACACACACACACACACACACACACACACACTTTCCTTCCAATTTGTAGTTTTGTTGTATTTTTCTCATATACGATTTGTAAGTTTTTTCTTCTCGATACGATACAGAGTATCGAAAATTTGTTATGGACCAATGTAATAATTCAATATAGTGATGAGTATTCGAACTCACGGTTTGTGATTACCCAGCCATCATCACTCTGTGGTGTAAAGTAAGGCTAGGAACGGGATATCCTAGACTAGGGGTTCGAATCTCTATCACTCCATTGAACAATTCCGGTAATAATTATGTACAGTAATGTTCTATTGGTAGAGCCAATACTGTTACAGCTCATGACATTGCAATTTGTAATAAGATGTATACTGATTTTCGCGTGTGGAACAGGTCCGGACGCTGACGACACTCAGTCTGGATTACAACCGTGTCGGGGTCATCTCTGCTACCAGCCTCCAGACGGTGATTGGTCTCTTCCACCTCTCCATTGCCCACAACATCATCAGGGAGCTTCCTCAGGGTACCTTCTCTAACTTCACAGACCTGGAAAGCTTGAACCTTTACGGGAACCAGCTGCAGAACCTCGTTCCAGAGAGCTTGCTGGGCCTGAGAGAGAGCTTGAAGGAGCTCAACCTGGGTCTGAATCTCTTGAGCGAGCTGCCGCAGTTCGACTTCCCGCTGCTGAATACGCTTATCTTGTCGAAAAACAACATCACCAGTCTGCCGTCTGATGCGTTCGTACTCCTCCCGGAGTTAAAGATGCTGGACCTGAGTGAGAATCATTTATCCTCACTTCCTGTAACTCTCCTCCACCCGGTGAAGAAACTCTCAACACTTGACCTTAGCATGAACCAGATTGCTGAGATACGACCCGGCCAGTTTAACGAGTCGTTCATTAACGTCATTAATCTGCAGCACAATGAGATTAAGGAGATTCCAAGCGAAGCCTTCAAAGACCTGCTCTTCTTGCATACTCTGGATCTTAGCTACAACGCAATCAGAAGCATTAGCGATGCAGCCTTCCTCAACATCGCTCTTTTGCACATCCTTCGTCTCAACAACAACATGTTGCCATCCTTCAAAAAGGAATACTTCAAACTACTATTCCAGCAGAGGTGACGGAGTTAAGGATCCTGGACTTGAGCCACAATGATATCACTTTCCTCCAGCCACTGGCCTTCCAGCTGCACTCTAAGCTAAATTGGTTGAGTTTATCACACAACCGCCTCTCTTTTTTCCTCCCGGAGATTATTCGTGACCTCAGAGATCTGGAGCACCTTGACGTTGAGAGTAACCAGATCAAAACATTGGAGGCTAATGACTTCGCCAATGCTCCACACTTACGCGAATTAAACTTAAGAAACAACTTGATAGATTCTGTGGTGGAGACTGCCATGCAGAACTCAACCCAGCTCCAAACACTTGATTTAAGTCACAACAAAATTGATGTACTGCCTGAAAACGTGTTTCTAGGAATTTCTCGGCTTCACCTAGATTTGAGCCACAATAAACTGTATACCCTTCCAGAAATGATATTCCAGAGAACTAAGATTCAAAAGCTTCAGTCGGTGAATCTAGCTCACAACGATTTTGAGCAAGTGCCCGTGGACACCCTCCGTCAGCAGTACTTCTTCCTCAGTGACCTCAACATGGCTCACAATAAGATAAAAAACGTGCCAAGTAACGCCGATATTCTGGTTAACATCAAGACGCTGGACTTATCCTATAACCCACTGACTCCAGAAGCTGTATATATCTTATTGAATGAACCCAAGACAGTACGGCACCTGAACCTTGCAGGCACTAATGTCACGGAAGTTCCTGTTATTGAAGCACGCTTTCTTCTCTCTCTCAATCTTTCTGACAACAACATTGTTGAAGTTAAAGAATCGTCCTTTGAACTCACTCAGAGTTTGCAAGACTTAGACATGTCCAAAAATCTGATACCCAACCTGAGTTACGGTCTTGCCATGGCCTGGCCCAAAATACCAGACCTCCGTAGGTTGGACGTTTCTCACAACCCTCTCGCCTATATTGTCCGCGGCGACTTCAACTACTTAAGTAATCTCGAAGTTTTACGAGCTGCTTATCTTCCACGAGCCAACAGAGTTGAACGCCTTGCTCTCACTCCTCTTCGTTCCCTGAGAGAACTCTACCTGCACACGCTACCTTTGCTTGCTGTGCTGGACGTACGCGGCATCCTGGAAGGCCATCCAGGCCTGGAGGTAGTAGACATTGAGCTAACTGATAGAGAGGTACATGACCAACTTCATCCTGCCTTCTATCCTCGCCTGCGCAGTCTCACTGTTCGAGGACGTTCAGTAGAAGCCTTATCAGGAGGTGCTTTTGCTGGCATTAACAGTCCTGATCTGACAATCGGTCTTGTAAACACTAGCGTAAGCAATCTTCGTTCTAACGTATTTTTCCCAGTGCCAATGTCTTCCAGGATTCGGTTGGATATATCAGAATCAAAAATTACATCGCTCAGTCCACAGTTCTTAAGCACTCTTGATTCACGCCAGCGGCACCTTCGTCTCTCTGGCCTGGGGTCAAACCCTCTCTTCTGCGACTGCAACATAAGAACTCTACGGCGGTGGTTGGTGGGCCATGGACCCGAGACAGCCTCTATAACGTGACCTGTAGTGCACCAATAAGTCTGAAGGGTGTCGCCCTGACCACTCTCAATGAGGCTGACCTGAGCTGCGAGGGACAACCCACGACAACTACCACTGACCCGCCTCTCTTCACCACAACGCGGCGCAGACCTGCAACAACTGACAACATTATCACCTTTGAAGACATGACTGGCCGTCCAAGTGATGAAATAAACGAGATCGAGGGTGCAAATTCTCCCTCACACTCCAGCAGCGGCCTCACTAACATGGACAACATAATTATCGGCATAGTAGGTGGTGTCGTGGCCTTTGTAGCGTTACTTATCATTATTATCTGTCTAATTCGTCTCCGCTCCGACTCTCAGTATCGTGGAGGCCCTCTAGCGGGACCCCTGGCCATGAGAAACCACAACAACTGCACCTGTCTTAAACCTCCTCCACCCCCTGGAAGCTGGGGGAATTACCCAGGACAGTACCCAACTCTGCCCCCTCCAGCATCCTCCCGTGCTGGCACCCTTAAGATGCTGCCTCCACCTACCACGCCCATTCCTCCACCATACGGCACGTTGGGAGCCAACAGCGGGCGAAACTACTACCCAAACCACGCATACTACATGGGTTATCCCCCGGAGAGTGAACATGGAGAGCATCGGTAGCCACAAAGCATTTCATCTAATTGCTGAGTCCTTAGTTCCGTTATCTCTCAACCAGTGCTGGTTGAGACGTGCCATTCTCTAGGGCCTTTCTGGTGTGTTTTATCCGTGCCCTTGACAGGCCAGCTCACCCTACACACCAGTCAGTACCCTGTGTTAGATGAGGCCATCTCAACTTATTATAATTCTCTCAGTTTCCCTTAGCTCAATACTGTTTTCTTTCTCCTCCACTCGCAATCAAAGAAAACTCATGTAAATAGACGCATACTAGTTCTAATTCTAATAATATCTATTACATATATTTATGTATATCAGATTGTATTACATGTGCCTAGAATCCTGTAGATTCTAATGAAATGTTTATGTTATATAAATGCATTGTGAACAAAATTATGCATATATGTACATGCTCGGATTTCAGCTTGTGTTTGTGCTAATATTAGCAAGCATTTGTTTGTCCTTGATTGTATGTGTGTTTGCCCTAGCCATATGTAGACAGCACATATGTAGTGAAACATGTGAACATGGTTTCTCTCAGAGAAGTGCAGCCAGGCACCTGGGGAAACTGGAAATGTAGTATCTTATGTCTGTTACCTTGGGTAATATATATCGAACCTGTAATGCTTCGGGCATCACAGGCTCCATAACGAGGTGCATACAAGAGTACTGGCTGAGTGCCATCGCCAGACGCGCCGAGTGTCGAAGTTGATTAAATAATTGGGATTAAGGTACGATGGACCAAGAGTGTCCCAGACTTTACTGAGAAGCAATGTGTGAGAGTGGCTATATATCTGCGACATGGTGGACGCTGGTATTCTCCAGTACTGTGGAATGGTGCTGGTATTCTCCAGTACTGTGGAATGGTGGACGCTGGTATTCTCCAGTACTGTGGAATGGTGGACGCTGGTATTCTCCAGTGCTGTGGAATGGTGGACGCTGGTATTCTTCAGTACTGTGGAATTGTGGACGCTGGTATTCTCCAGTACTGTGAGATGGTCATTGCTTCACATAAGTACAATAATCTAATAATGGAAGTGTTAAATTATATTGTTATGTGAAGGAGAAGCTACAAGAGAAGTCACTCTAGAGGACCAGGGGAGAGTACACACAAGCTGTGTTATTGTCTTGTGAAGGATTGACTACTCTAGAGGACCAGGGAAGAGTACACACAAGCTGTGTTATTGTCTTGTGAAGGAGTCACTACTCTAGAGGACCAGGGAAGAGTACACACAAGCTGTGTTATTGTCTTGTGAAGGATTGACTACTCTAGAGGACCAGGGAGAGAGTACACACAAGACACGTATACAATGAGAAACTTGTCACTAAAGACGTCAAATAAGTGAATATAGAATAGCCAACAAGTAGCAAAAACCAAACAAACACAATAAAAACAAACGCAATAAAAACATTATCTTTATTACCACGACATTTCACCCAGTTAATAAAGCTTTATGGAGGTGAAACGGTGGCCTGGTGGCTAAAGCTCCCGCTTCACACACGGAGGGCCCGGGTTCGATTCCCGGCGGGTGGAAATTCCGACACGTTTCCTTACACCTATTGTCCTGTTCACCTAGCAGCAAATAGGTACCCGGGTGTTAGTCGACTGGTGTGGGTCGCATCCTGGGGGACAAGATTAAGGACCACAATGGAAATAAGTTAGACAGTCTCGATGACGCACTGACTTTCTTGGGTTATCCTGGGTGGCTAACCCTCCGGGGTTAAAAATCCGAACGAAATCTTATCTTATCTTAAAAGCTCTTCTCCTCTACGTGCCCTTTCTTAATAAAGTTATTAATTTTAAAGCTAACTTTATTGAGTAATAAAGTCAGTATCAGAGACACTCAAAATAAAATTTATCATCATTATTTTTATGGAAAGCGTTAAACCTGTAAGGGAGGGGGGAAATGGGCAATGAGATTTAACCCGAAGGACACAACGGCGGGTCCAGTTCCTCGAATCAAGAGCTTATTGCCAGCATGTAAGCATCGCAGTGCCAATGAAATAATATCACAAAAAGACGAGATATGCTTTAAAAATACCGTCTTGATCATCACAGTTCCTTTGTTATGGATTTGTAAGTGGGGGAAGGCTCTTGATCCAAGGAATTGGATCACTGCTAATTGCCTTCCCCTTCCCCCCAGGCGCTGTATGATCCCGTGGCTCAGTAATGGGGTTTCAAGCTTGTCGACTGGACGAGGAGTCATTAAGGCTGCATGTCACCTGTTCATCACCAGTCAAGACCTTAAGACCGAAAATAGGGGTTAAACTATCAGAGTATACACTGACAGCCATACACAGCCCAGTGTATATACACTGACAGCCATACACAGCCCAGTGTATATACACTGACAGCCATACACAACCCAGTGTATATACACTGACAGCCATACACAGCCCAGTGTATATACACTGACAGCCATACACAGCCCAGTGTTATATACACTGACAGCCATACACAACCCAGTGTATATACACTGACAGCCATACACAGCCCAGTGTATATACACTGACAGCCATACACAGCCCAGTGTATATACACTGACAGCCATACACAGCCCAGTGTATATACACTGACAGACATACACAGCCCAGTGTATATACACTGACAGACATACACAGTCCAGTGTATATACACTGACAGTCATACACAGCCCAGTGTATATACACTGACAGACATACACAGTCCAGTGTATATACACCTCAAGGTTTATGTCTTATAAATTATTACATAAAAGTTTTGTACACATTTGTATGTGTTAGTGTATGTTATTGTAATGAATATATGCATCACAATAATGTATGTATATATATATATATATATTATATATATATATATATTATATTATATATAATATATATATATATATATTTTATGTATATATATATATATATATATATATATATATATATTATATATATATATATATAAACATTCCTAAATCTTTTACAAAATTATTTAATGTATTGTTTACCTGTGACGTCACTGGTGCATCAAGCTGCACAACTCTTCGTTTTATATTAATAAATTTTGAAATATAATGTGAATATATTTTCTAGCCCGAAAATCGATTTTCATCTGAATGTGTGTGTGTGTGTGTGTGTGTGTGTGTGTGTGTGTGTGTGTGTGTGTGTGTGTGTGTGTGTGTGTGTGTGTGTGTGTGTGTGTGTGTGTACTCACCTATTTGTACTCACCTATTTGTGGTTGCAGGGGTCGAGTCTTAGCTCCTGGCCCCGCCTCTTCACCGGTTGCTACTAGGCCCTCTCTCTCCCCGCTCCATGAGCTTTATCAAACCTCGTCTTAAAACTGTGTATGGTTCCTGCCTCCACTACGTCATTTTCTAGGCTATTCCACTGCCTTACAACTCTATAACTGAAGAAATACTTCCTACTATCTCTCTGACTCATTTGTGTCTTCAACTTCCAATTGTGGCCTCTTGTTTCTGTGTCCCCTCCCTGGAAATCCTGTCTTTGTCACCTTGTCTATTCCACGCAGTATTTTATATGTCGTTATCATGTCTCCCCTGACCCTCCTGTCCTCCAGTGTCGTCAGGCCGATTTCCCTTAATCTATCTTCATAGGGCATTCCCCTTAGCTCTGGAACTAACCTTGTCGCAAACCTTTGCACTTTCTCTAGTTTCTTGACGTGCTTTATCAAGTGCGGGTTCCAAACAGGTGCTGCATACTCCAGTATGGGCCTGACATACACGGTGTACAGTGTCTTAAAACGATTCCTTACAAAGGGTTTATCGGAATGCTGTTCTCAGGTTTGCCAGGCGCCCATATGCTGCAGCAGTTATCTGATTGATGTGTGTTTCCCGGAGACATGCTCGGTGTTATACTCACCCCAAGATCTTTCTCCTTGAGTGAGGTTTAAAGTCTTTGGCCACCTAGCCTATACTCTGTCTGTGGTCTTCTGTGCCCTTCCCCTATCTTCATGACTTTGCATTTGGCAGGATTAAATTCGAGAAAGCCATTTGCTGGACCAGGTGTCCAGTCTGTCCAGGTCTCTTTGAAGTCCTGCCTGGTCCTCATCAGATTTAATTTTTCCTCATTAACTTCACATCATCTGCAAACAGGGACACTTCTGAGTCTAACCCTTCCACCATGTCGTTCACATATACCAAAAATAGCACTAGTCCTAGGACCGACCCCTGTGGGACCCCGTTCGTCACAGGTGCCCACTGTGATACATCATTACGTACCATGACTCGTTGTTGCCTCCCTGTCAGGTATTCTCTGATCCATTGCAGTGCCCTTCCTGTTATATGCTCCTGATGCTCTAGCTTCTGCACTAATCTCTTGTGAGGAACTGTGTCAAAGGCCTTCTTGCAGTCCAAGAAGATGCAATCAACCCACCCCTCTCTCTCGTGTCTCACTTCTGCTATATTTTATCATAAAACTCCAGAAGGTTTGTGACACAGGATTTGCCTTCCATGAATCCGTGCTGGTTGGCATTTATACTCTTGTTCCGTTCCAGGTGCTCCACCACTCTCCTCCTGATAATCTTCTCCATAACTTTGCATACTATACACGTCAATGACACAGGTCTATAGTTTAGTGCCTCTTTTCTGTCTCCTTTTTTAAAAATGGGAACTACATTTGCCGTCTTCCATACCTCAGGTAGTTGCCCAGTTTCCAGGGACGTGTTGAAGATTGTGGTAAGTGGCACGCACAACATACCTGCTCCCTCTCTAAGGACCCACGGGGAGATGTTGTCCGGTCCCATTCCCTTTGAGGTATCGATGTCCCTTAGCAGTTTCTTCACCTCCTCCTCATCTGTATGTATGTCGTCCAACACTTGTTGGTGTATTCCTTGCTGGTGTCCCCATCTGATCTGTCCCCCAGAGTCCTTCCTGTCTCTACTGTAAATACTTCCTTAAATCTCGTGTTGAGCTCCTCACATACCTCTTGATCGTTTCTTGTGAGTTCTCCACCTTCTTTCTCAGCCTTATCACCTGGTCCTTGACTGTTGTCTTCCTCCTAATGTGGCTATACAGCAGTTTCGGGTCAGATTTGACTTTCGATGCTATGTATTTTTCATACTGTCGCTGGGCCTCCCTCCTTATCTGTGCATACTCGTTTCTGGCTCTTCTACTAATCTCCTTGTTTTCCTGGGTCCTATGCCTCCTGTACCTTTTCCATTCTCTGTTGCACTTAGTTTTTGCCTCCCTACACCTTCGGGTAAACCAAGGACTCGTTTTGGTCTTCCTATTATTTCTGTTTCCCTTGGGAACAAACCTTTCCTCTGCCTCCTTGCACTTTGTTGCCACATATTCCATCATCTCGTTTACTGATTTTCCTACCATTTCTCTGTCCCACTGAACCTCCTGCAGGAAGTTTCTCATACCTGTGTAGTCCTCCCTTTTATAGTTTGGCCTGTCCCCTTCAGTTCCTGTTACCTTCTCCACTTGTAACTCTACTATATAATCAAAACTCAGAACCACGTGATCGCTAGCTCCAAGGGGCCTCTCGTAAGTGATGTCCTCAATGTCTGAACTGCTCAGGGTGTGTGTGTGTGTGCGTGTGTGTGTGTGTGTGTGTGTGTGTGTGTGTGTGTGTGTGTGTGTGTGTGTGTGTGTGTGTGTGTGTGTGTGTGTGTGTGTGTGTGTGTGTGTGGAGGTACTTGTTATAGGGAGGAAGGGGGATGGAGGTTAGGATGGGGGAGAGGAATAGAGAGTGGTAGGGGGAGACAGTAACAGAGGGGGAGAGAGAGTGTGTGTGTGGAGGGGGATATGCAGCATCACTACCTCCTGCTCTGACGCTGATTGCTTATCAACAATGCAGATAAGAGAAGTGATGCAAGTTGGAGTCCAGGTTACCATCAAGGGTTAAGGCTACACCCCTTAATATATAATGGAACCCTTACCCTAATATCAGAGACGAAGGACCACATCATCACAATTACTCTTACTGCTAGCAAGGCACCATACACACAGTAGTGTGTATGATACAGTGAGGATAGTGAGTGCGTAAGCGTGGATGTGGGAATCTGTAATACTGTATACACACATGTGTGCCACAGGTGAGTGTATACACACACACACACACACACACACACACACACACACACACACACACACAACATTTATCAGTAAGCAGGTGTTCGCTTTCACAAATACATTATTCCATCCAAGTCTTATGTACTCACCTGTGTGTGTATGTGTGTGTGAGATAGAGAGAGAGACAGTGAGAGAGACAGAGAGACAGACAGATAGACAGACAGACAGACAGACAGACAGGCAGACAGACAAACAGACAGACAGGCAGACAGACAGACAGACAAGCAGACAGACTGACAGACAGACAGACAAACAGACAGAGACAGAGAAACAAAGAGTCAGACAAAGAGAACAAGAAATTTCATATTTTTACAAAGAAATGTGAAAATATCTCTCAGTAGAATACTCACGCCTCAGACTGGTGATGCTATGCAATGCTGACTGCTGATGAGATCAACACCAGGACACTCTCCACGTCTGGGAGTGTTGTTAACAGCATCACCAGGACACTGTCCACGTCTGGGAGTGTTGTCAACAGCATTACCAGGACACTGTCCACGTCTGGGAGTGTTGTCAACAGCAACACCAGGACACTCTCCACGTCTGGGAGTGTTGTCAACAGCATTACCAGGACACTGTCCACGTTGGGAGTGTGTCAACAGCAACACCAGGACACTCCCACGTCTGGAGTGTTATAAACCCAGCATCACCTGACACTGTCACGTCTGGGAGTGTTGTCAAAGCATTACCAGGACACTGTCCACGTCTGGGAGTGTTGTTTAACAGCACACCAGGACACTGTTCCATCTGGAAAGGTTGTTAACGCATCACAGGTGGACACTGTCCACGTCTGGAGTGTTGTCAACAGCAACCCCAGGACACTGTCACGTCTGGGAGTTGTCAACAGCATCCCAGGACACTGTCACGTCTGGGAGTGTTGTTACAGAAACACCAGGACATGTCCACGTCTGGGAGTGTGTTAACAGCAACACCAGGACACTGTCCACGTCTGGGAGTGTTTTAACAGCACACCAGGACCTGCAACGTCTGGAGTGTTGCAACAGCAACACCAGGACATGTCAGTCTGGGAGTGTGTCAACAGCAAACCGGCACGTCCAGTCTGGGAGTGTTTTAACAGATTACAGGACATTTTCACTCGGAGTGTTTGTTAACAGCATACCAGGACACTGTCCACTCTGGAGTGTTGTAACAGCATTACCGGACCTGTCCACGTCTGGGATGTTGTTAACAGCAACACCAGGACACTGTCCACGTCTGGGAGTGTTGTTAACAGCATCACCAGGACACTGTCCACGTCTGGGAGTGTTGTTAACAGCAACACCAGGACACTGTCCACGTCTGGGAGTGTTGTCAACAGCAACACCATGACAGATAATGTTGATCGTAAGTCAGGGAACCTAAATATACAAATATTTTAGTTACTAATAATATTCTTATTACCTACGTCTCCAGGTCGCTAAAATTTCCATTCACAAATTATTTTGTATCGTCGATTTTCATCATTTTAAGATACATTTAAGGAAAGAGAAAAAACTCACATGAAAAAAGTATACGATCGAAACTTTTAGAGAAATTAACATGGGTGTCTTAACAGAAACTGAGCGTTACTTTATGGATTGAAAAAAATGAACTGTGTAAATAGCTGCGGGAAAAACCGTCAAGGTTGCAATAAATTGCTGAACATAAACCAAAAATCTTGAAAAATGGCAACACAAAAATCACAAAAACCTTATTCAAAAAAGAATAGAAAACCATATTACAAAAAAAACTATAATTACTTTTAAATAATAACAATAATAATATTATTTTTATTATTATCAACAGTAAATGCCACAATAAACCAGTATTAATGACAAAATTAATAAAAAAGGGAATAGAAACAGTAATAATAATGATAATAATAATAAAGAGTGGTGACAGAGGGAGGGAACGCCCCCTTGTTACACCACACAGTGTACACACAACACTCCACAGTGCCTGGTATGAGTGCGTGGCACTGGCAGTGCCTCTTCGACCTTCACTCAGCCAGTAACTCACACTGACCCGGGTATTCCAAAGTGCCGGTACTCTGCAATCTTGAAGGTAATGTTGACATGTTGCACCAGTGCTTAAAATATTACTTCCTAGTAACCTACCAGTGTAAATTTCGACGCAAATTATGTTAATATAATCTCTGATTATTGCATAAACAAATTAACCAAGACTGGTTTAACTGAGTTTTCTATAGAAATTCCGTTATTATATATTTTATATTTCTCCTTAATTTAAAAGACATATTGGTTAATCTAGTTCGGCAAAATATGTCTGAAAATTGATAAAGATTAATCACATTTCCATTTTAGGAAGTTACATTTTCACTCGGTTTTCGAAATACACAAGATACATTTGAAAAATTTTGGTCTGGGACCTTGGTCACTCATGAGTGTACGCACTCGTGTCCCTTCATCTACTTAACCTCCTTAAAATCCCAAAGATCACTCGTCAAATTTCATTTCGAATATGCCTGCTAGATGATCAAGCCTCCACTTGTAAAACCCTCCTTCACACTATCCAAACTCCGTCTTAGGCACCTCCTATCCTTATTTTTTTTCTTCCACCCTAGACTTATGTACTCTGTTATACATACGTCTTTCTCTACCCTTTCCACAAGAAAAAATAAGATCGTGACAACTCCCTCTCCGCCAAATGAATAGATCTTTCCTCAAAATAAGTACGTAAAGCAAACACGGACAGATCGAACGAAATTGTCCCAAACTCAGTCCTACTCCAGCCACTTTCCATCAACCTGCCGCCTGTGCTGGTGATGCATCAATGTGACAGCAACATTACCTACGTCATCAACCTGCCACCTGTGCTGGTGATGCATCAATGTGACAGCAACACCTACGTCATCAATCTGCCGCCTGTGTTGGTGATGCATCAATGTGACAGCAACACTACCTACGTCATCAGGCGTAGCTCCAAATCCTCGAATCAAAAGAGCTACACCAGCATCCCATCCCTTGAAGTAGAGTGATAGGAGATATCAGTTCCTTATCTGAATTGTGTTGTAGCACGCGTATTCCCTAATCTATCCATCAGCTCACTCCTCTATCCATCTATCAGCCTGCCCATCTGTCCATCAGCCTGTTCAACAAGCCACCAGCTCCCTCACATTTCCATCTCTTTGTTACTCTCCACAGATGGAGCAGTCAACCTACGTAGAAGGCTTTCACGACCCTGAGGCTGTGAAAAAGATGGCGTATCGTCAACTTGGAAATACTGGTAAAATATTACTAACACTGGTAAGGTCTTGGCAACACTGGTCAGGTCTTGGCAGCGCTGGTAAGGTGATGGTGATACTGGTAAGGTTTTGACAACAGATGTGGGATCATGACTTTACAGAGATAAGGTCTTGACATCAGAAGTAAGTTCATGACAACATAAGTAAGGTCTTGACAACAGAAGTAAGGTCTTGACAACAGAAGTAAGGTCTTGACAACAGCAGTAAGGCCTTGACAACAGCAGTAAGGTCTTGACAACAGCAGTAAGGTCTTGACAACAGCAGTAAGGTCTTGACAACAGAAGTAAGGTCTTGACAACATGATGCCAACATTATTTGCTCACGCCTGAACTTCTTCCTGTCGTGGCTGTGTGGTAACTTCTTGTCCACCCTCAGACATGAAGGTGTCACTCATGTCCCTGGGAGGAGGGCCCCTGGGTGGGATATATGGCCACAACACCGAGAAGGAGTGCATCGAGACGGTACATCTGGCACTCAAGTCTGGCATTAACTACATTGATACGTCTCCCTTCTATGGCAACGGTCGCAGTGAAGAGATAATTGGGAAGGTGGGTGAAAGTGGGTGTGCGATAGGTGGGTGTGAAATAGATGGGAGATTAGGCATGAGAGAAGGATGGGTGGGTGAGAAAAAAGATAGGTGTCTCTCTCTAGCACTGCTGTCACTTACCCCATCTTTCCCTCACTGCTCTTCCTCCCGTGCAGGCGCTGAAGGGCGTCCCTCGGAGCTCCTACTACATCGCCACTAAGGTCGGACGCTACGAACTTGCAATAGAGCGAATGTTCGACTTCTCTGGAGAGAGAGTCGAAAAGAGCGTCGACAAGAGTCTGAAGCTGCTGGGACTTGACTACGTCGATGTTATCCAGGTGTGTGGTATTATCTGTGTGGATTACCTGTACGGGATTATCTGTACTGGATTAGCTGTGAGTGTTACTGTCGTTATATTAATGGACACTGTGATATCGCTGTGATAACACTGTTTGCACTCTTCAGGTGCACGATTTGGAGTTTGCTGATAACATTGACATTGTGCTGAAGGAGACGCTGCCAGCGCTGCAGAAGGTGGTAAAGCAGGGTAAAGCAAGGTAGGGAGAGAGAGAGAGAGAGAATATTCGAAATTCAGTACTTGTACTTGAAACACTGAGCGTTTTACATTTGGTTTCACTTTAACTCGACTATCACCAAATGCTATATAAGCAGAATAACAAAATATAACACTATCCGGCTACTCCAGGTACCCCCTCCCCCTCATACCGACCGTCCACTGTTACACAGAGAAGAGTTGTATCTCACACTGTGCAGAGGATTCACTCCTGCAAGCTGCACGACCTAGCATCACTGTAGCCAGCTGCACGACCTAGCATCACTGTAGCCAGCTGAACGACCTAGCATCACTGTAGCCAGCTGCACGACCTAGCATCACTGTAGCCACCTGCACAACCTAGCATCACTGTAGCCACCTGCACGACCTAGCATCACTGTAGCCACCTGCACAACCTAGCATCACTGTAGCCAGATGCACGGCCTAGCATCACTGTAGCCACCTGCACGACCTAGCATCACTGTAGCCACCTGCACGACCTAGCATCACTGTAGCCAGCTGCACGACCTAGCATCACTGTAGCCACCTGCACGACCTAGCATCACTGTAGCCACCTGCACAACCTAGCATCACTGTAGCCACCTGCACAACCTAGCATCACTGTAGCCAGATGCACGGCCTAGCATCACTGTAGCCAGCTGCAAGACCTAGCATCACTGTAGCCACCTGCACGACCTAGCATCACTGTAGCCAGCTGCACGGCCTAACATCACTGTAGCCACCTGCACGACCTAGCATCACTGTAGCCAGCTGCACGGTCTAGCATCACTGTAGTCACCAGCACGACCTAGCATCACTGTAACCAGCTGCACGGCCTAGCATCACTGCAGCCAGCTGCACGACCTAGCATCACTGTAGCCAGGTGCACGGCCTAGCATCACTGTAGCCAGCTGCACGACCTAGCATCACTGTAGCCAGCTGCACGGCCTAGCATCACTGTAGCCAGCTGCACGAGCTAGCATCACTGTAGCCAGCTGCACGGCCTAGCATCACTGTAGCCAGCTGCAAGACCTAACATCACTGTAGGCACCTGCACGACCTTGCATCACTGTAGCCAGCTGCACGGCCTAGCATCACTGTAGCCAGCTGCACGACGTAGCATCACTTTAGCCAGCTGCACGGCCTAGCATCACTGTAGCCAGCTGCACGACCTAGCATCACTGTAGCCAGGTGCACGGCCTAGCATCACTGTAGCCAGCTGCACGACCTAGCATCACTGTAGCCAGCTGCACGGCCTAGCATCACTGTAGCCAGCTGCACGAGCTAGCATCACTGTAGCCAGCTGCACGGCCTAGCATCACTGTAGCCAGCTGCAAGACCTAACATCACTGTAGGCACCTGCACGACCTTGCATCACTGTAGCCAGCTGCACGGCCTAGCATCACTGTAGCCAGCTGCACGACGTAGCATCACTTTAGCCAGCTGCACGGCCTAGCATCGCTGTAGCCAGCTGCAAGACCTAGCATCACTGTAGCCAACTGCACGACCTAGAATCACTGTAGCCCGCTGCACGGCCTAGCATCACTGTAGCCAGCTGCACGACCTAGAATCACTGTAGCCAGCTGCACCACCTAACATCACTGTAGCCAGCTGCACTACCTAGCATCACTGTAGCCAGCTGCACGACCTAGCATCGCTGTAGCCAGTTGCACGACCTAGCATCACTGTAGCCAGCTGAACGACATAGCATTACTGTAGCCAGCTGCACGACATAGCATCACTGTAGCCAGCTGCACGACATAACATCACTGCAGCCAGCTGCACGACGTAGCATCACTGTAGCCAGCTGCACGACATAGCATCACTGTAGCCAGCTGCACAACATATCATCACTGTAGCCAGCTGCACGACCTAGCATCACTGTAGCCAGCTGCACGACCTAACATCACTGTAGCCAGCTGCACGACCTAGCATCACTGTAGCAAGCTGCATGACCTAACATCACTGTAGCCAGATGTACGGCCTAGCATCACTGTACCCAGCTGCACGACCTAACATCACTGTACCCAGCTGCACGACCTAACATCACTGTAGCCAGCTGCACGACCTAACATCACTGTAGCAAGCTGCATGATCTAACATCACTGTAGCCAGATGCACGACCTAGCATCACTGTAGCCAGCTGCACGACCTAACATCACTGTAGCCAGCTGCACGACCTAGCATCACTGTAGCCAGCTGCACGGCCTAGCATCACTGTAGCAAGCTACATGACGTAACATCACTGTAGCCACCTGCACGACCTAGCATCACTGTATCCAGCTGCACGACCTAGCATCACTGAAGCAAGCTGCATGACCTAACATAGCTGTAGCCAGCTGCACGACCTAACATCACTGTAGCCAGCTGCACGACCTAGCATCACTGTAGCCAGTTGTACGGCCTAGCATCACTGTAGCAAGCTGCACGACCTAGCATCACTGTAGCCAGCTGCACGACCTAACATCACTGTAGCAAGCTGCACGACCTAGCATCACTCTAGCCACCAGCACGACCTAGAATCACTGTAGCAAGCTGCACGACCTAGCATCACTGAAGCAAGCTGCATGACCTAACATAGCTGTAGCCAGCTGCATGACCTAACATCACTGTAGCCAGCTGCACGACCTAGCATCACTGTAGCCAGCTGCACGACCTAGCATCACTGTAGCAAGCTGCATGACCTAACATCACTGTAGCCAGCTGCACGACCTAACATCACTGTAGCCAGCTGCACGACCTAGCATCAATGTAGCCAGCTGCACGACCTAACATCACTGTAGCCAGCTGCACGACCTAGCATCACTATAGCAAGCTGCACGACCTAGCATCACTGTAGCCAGCTGCACGACCTAGAATCACTGTAACCAGCTGCACGACCTAGCATCACTGTAGCCAGCTGCACGACCTAGCATCACTGTAGCAAGCTGCATGACCTAACATCACTGTAACCAGCTGCACGACCTAGCATCAATGTAGCCACCTGCACGACCTAACATCACTGTAGCAAGCTGCATGACCTAACATCACTGTAACCAGCTGCACGACCTAGCATCACTGTAGCCACCTGCACGACCTAACATCACTGTAGCAAGCTGCATGACCTAGCATCAATGTAGCCACCTGCACGACCTAACATCACTGTAGCAAGCTGCATGACCTAGCATCAATGTAGCCACCTGCACGACCTAACATCACTGTAGCCACCTGCACGACCTAACATCACTGTAGCAAGCTGCATGACCTAGCATCAATGTAGCCACCTGCACGACCTAACATCACTGTAGCCACCTGCACGACCTAACATCACTGTAGCAAGCTGCATGACCTAACATCACTGTAACCAGCTGCACGACCTAACATCACTGTAGCCACCTGCACGACCTAACATCACTGTAGCAAGCTGCATGACCTAGCATCAATGTAGCCACCTGCACGACCTAACATCACTGTAGCAAGCTGCATGACCTAGCATCAATGTAGCCAGCTGCACGACCTAACATCACTGTAGCCAGCTGCACGACCTAACATCACTGTAGCAAGCTGCATGACCTAGCATCAATGTAGCCAGCTGCACGACCTAACATCACTGTAGCCAGCTGCACGACCTAACATCACTGTAGCCACCTGCACGACCTAACATCACTGTAGCAAGTCTCACGGTGCTGGACTGACTGAACAACACAGTCGCGCTCACATGTACGGTGTTATTTGTAACTTCACAATGTTGGCATATATTTCAACATATGTTGAAAGATGCCAATGTTTATAGCTGTAAACATTGTTTTTATAGATTGACTCCTAACTGGGGGTAAATTTGTTGCCTTCTATTTCAGAGAGATTATTTTTATCTGGGAATTTTTGGAGGATTTAACAATAAAGTATTTGCAAGAGTAAAGACCCGTAATATTTATTAGTGTCATTTAAAAAATGTTTTATCGTATAAAGTCAAATTTCAGCCTCAAATTTGGGATACGTACGTAATGTAGACATAGGAGAGCCCCACTTTACAGCGTTTCACTGTATGGCGTTTCGCTAATACAGCAGTCTTCAATTATACCCAATCTTCGTTTACTCAGACTTTCTTCAATAAATTTATTCAACACTCACTATAAGGTAAGGGCGAAAAATTTTTAAGGTAAGTAATGTATGTCACCCTCATCAGTCAGGGTCACCAGTCACCCCTCATCCTCACCCGTTACCCTCACCCGTCACCCTCACCAGTCACCCCTCACCTGGAACCCCTCACCCGTCACTCTCACCCGTCACTCTTACCCGCCAGGTATATCGGTATCACAGGGTATCCCGTCTATCTCCTGAAGGAGGTGGTAGAGAAGTCTAATGTGAAGATTGACGTGGTCTTGAGCTACGCTCGCAACACCTTGCTAGATGACACCCTCAAGGAGTACATCCCATTCTTTCAAGTAAGTCTTGACTGCTCCTTCAAGGAGTACATCACCTTCCTTGACGACACTCTCAAGATTTACCTTAATTTTTGTGACAACCTATTTTTTTTAGCAGTCATGCACTCTGTATAATATACAAAAGTGTCACAAATTTCCACGAACGCCTCCACCGTTGAAATTTGATTTCTGTAATGTTACTGGAAATGTGGCAAGGCACGATTTTGGACATGTGATAACATATGTGTGTGTGGCACTGTCACAGTCTCGAGGCATCGGTGTGATCAACGCGGCCGCAGTGGCAATGGGCATCCTGTGCCACGGAAATGTTATCAGCTGGCACCCTGCTCCTCAAGACATCAGGGAAGCGTGTAGGAAGGCAGCGCAACACTGCAAGGTGAGTCCTGACCACCTCATGAAGCAGCAGTGCAGATATGTCTGTTCTCTCTCTCTCTCTCTCTCTCTCTCTCTCTCTCTCCTCTCTCTCTCTCTCTCTCTCTCTTTCTCTCTGTCCCCTCGCACACACACAACATTCAAAGCACAGCTGTTCCTCGCCCTCCATACCAAACAGCGCAAGTGTAGCTTACACATACACACACGGCCAGGAGCTATGACTCAACCCCTTCAATCATAATTGAGTACATACACACACATACGTAACTACACAAACGCACACACAAATGCACCACACACACACACACCACACACACACAACACACACACACACACACACACACACACACACACACACACACACACACACACACACACACACACACACACACACACACACACACACACACACACACACACACATGGTTTCAGGGACGGGAAATCCTGTGTCACAAACCTACTGGAGTTCTATGACATGGTGACAGCAGTAAGACAAGAGAGAGAGGGGTGGGTGGATTGCATTTTCTTGGACTGCAAGAAGGCGTTTGACACAGTTCCACACAAGAGATTGGTGCAAAAACTGGAGGACCAAGCAGGGATAACAGGGAAGGCACTACAATGGATCAGGGAATACTTGTCAGGAAGACAGCAGCGAGTCATGGTACGTGGCGAGGTGTCAGAGTGGGCACCTGTGACCCGCAGGGGTCAGTCCTAGGACCAGTGCTGTTTCTGGTATTTGTGAACGACATGACGGAAGGAATAGACTCTGAGGTGTCCCTGTTTGCAGATGACGTGAAGTTGATGAGAAGAATTCACTCGATCGAAGACCAGGCAGAACTACAAAGGGATCTGGACAGGCTGCAGACCTGGTCCAGCAATTGGCTCCTGGAGTTCAATCCCACCAAGTGCAAAGTCATGAAGATTGGGGAAGGGCAAAGAAGGCCGCAGACGGAGTACAGTCTAGGGGGTCAGAGACTACAAACCTCACTCAAGGAAAAAGATCTTGGGGTGAGTATAACACCAGGCACATCTCCTGAAGCGCACATCAACCAAATAACTGCTGCAGCATATGGGCGCCTAGCAAACCTCAGAACAGCATTCCGACATCTTAATAAGGAATCATTCAGGACCCTGTACACCGTGTACGTTAGGCCCATATTGGAGTATGCGGCACCAGTTTGGAACCCACACCTAGCCAAGCACGTGAAGAAACTAGAGAAAGTGCAAAGGTTTGCAACAAGACTAGTCCCAGAGCTAAGAGGTATGTCCTACGAGGAGAGGTTAAGGGAAATCAACCTGACGACACTGGAGGACATGAGAGATAGGGGGGACATGATAACGACATACAAAATACTGAGAGGATTTGACAAGGTGGACAAAGACAGGATGTTCCAGAGATTGGACACAGTAACAAGGGGACACAGTTGGAAGCTGAAGACACAGATGAATCACAGGGATGTTAGGAAGTATTTCTTCAGCCACAGAGTAGTCAGTAAGTGGAATAGTTTGGGAAGCGATGTAGTGGAGGCAGGATCCATACATAGCTTTAAGCAGAGGTATGATAAAGCTCACGGTTCAGGGAGAGTGACCTAGTAGCGATCAGTGAAGAGGCGGGGCCAGGAGCTCGGACTCGACATCCGCAACCTCAACTAGGTGAGTACAACTAGGTAACTAGGTGAGTACACACACACACACACACACATAGGGGAATGTCCTATGAAGAAAGATTAAGGGAAATCGGCCTGACGACACTGGAGGACAGGAGGGTCAGGGGAGACATGATAACGACATATAAAATACTGCGTGGAATAGACAAGGTGGACAAGGACAGGATGTTCCAGGGAGGGGACACAGAAACAAGAGGCCACAATTGGAAGTTGAAGACACAAATGAGTCAGAGAGACAGTAGGAAGTATTTCTTCAGTCATAGAGTTGTAAGGCAGTGGAATAGCCTAGAAAATGACGTAGTGGAGGCAGGAACCATACACAGTTTTAAGACGAGGTTTGATAAAGCTCATGGAGCGGGGAGAGAGAGGGCCTAGTAGCAACCGGTGAAGAGGCGGGGCCAGGAGCTAGGACTCGACCCCTGCAACCACAAATAGGTGAGTACACACACACACACACACATACACACACACACACAGCGGTTTACTCAAACCTAACCTAACCTAGATTTAATCTCTCTTCCATAGAAGGAAGGGGATCTGGATGCTGGTGAAGGGTTCTTGATCCACTTAACTAGAACTACCCTTCCCCTCCTTGGATCAATCCAGACTGTCTTTCATTCCCCCAAGCATTGGTCAGTCCCTGATTACATCGACACCAGGTTGAGGGACTGATTACCTTAGACTCCTTCTGATCTTCACCATTCTTCTTTGTATAGGACTGATGAAGTCAATGTGGGGCGAAACGTTTCCTCAGTAAAGATACACAAGTGTTGGGCATGTGTCTAATTTATCACCAATACCGATAAGTTGAAGAATAAGACATGTGCAATAGTATTTGGTTCGTTGTAATGAAGACGTTTCGCCCACCAGTGATGTAATCGGTTGGGATGTAATCGATTGTGTAGTTTTAAAAATAAGTTCAACAGATACGTGAGTGGGTGTGAGTTGGAACTGACTAGCATGGGCCAGTAGTCATGCTGCAGTGCTCCTTCTTCCTTGGTTCAGAAAGACACGGAAGCAAGAACTAGGACATATTTATTAGAAAGCGTTTCAGTCCTGGGACCTTGATCACCTGATCAAGGTCCCAGGACCGAAACGTTATCTATTAAAATGTCCAAGTGTTAACTCAAGTATTTCTCTAAATCAATTTGTGGGTATCAATTATCAATGTATATGTCCTTTCTTGTGTTGTGGTGCTCCTGCAGGAGTCTGGGGTTGACCTGGGTCGCCTGGCGGTGCGACACTCCCTGCTGATGGAGGGTGTGGTCACTCACCTCCTGGGCTGCATCAACGTAGACGTTCTTCGCAAGAACCTTGACAGTGTTATCAATCCTCTCACGCCCAAAGAGGAGCAGGTCAACAAGGAGGTGAAGGAGAGGTGAGTGCTTTGGGGGGGAGTCTTGTTAGACGAGTCCTGGGGGAAATCTTGTTAGGTGAGGTGCTGGGGGGGTTCTTGTTAGGTGAATGCTGGGGGGGGGTCTTGTGAGGTGAGTGGTGGGGTCTTGTTTGGTGAGTGCTGGGTGGGTCTTGTTAGGTGAGTGCTGGGGGGGTCTTGTGAGGTGAATGCTGTGGGGATCTTGTTAAGTGAGTGCTGGGGTCTTGTTAGGTGAGTGCGGGGTCTTGTTAGGTGAGTGCTGGGTGGGTCTTGTTAGGTGAGTGCTGGGGGGGTCTTGTGAGGTGAATGCTGTGGGGAGTCTTGTTAAGTGAGTGCTAGGGTCTTGTTAGGTGAGTGCTGGGTGGGTCTTGTTAGGTGAATGCTGGGGGGGGTCTTGTGAGGTGAGTGCTGGGGTCTTGTAGGTGAGTGCTGGGTGGGTCTTGTTAGGTGAGTGCTGGGGGGGTTCTTGTTAGGTGAATGCTGGGGGGGGGGCTTGTGAGGGGAGTGCTGGGGTCTTGTTAGGTGAGTGCTGGTGGGTCTTGTTAGGTGAGTGCTGGGGGGGTCTTGTGAGGTGAATGCTGTGGGGAGTCTTGTTAAGTGAGTGCGGGTCTTGTTAGGTGAGTGCTGGGGGCTTGTTAGGTGAGTGCTGGGGGGGTTTTGTTAGGTGAGTGCTGGGGGGGCTTGTGAGGTGAATGCTTGTGGGGAGTCTTGTTAAGTGAGTGCTAGGGTCTTGTTATGGTGAGTGCTGGGTGGGGCTTGTTAGGGAATGCTGGGGGGGGTCTTGTGAGGTGAGTGCTGGGGTCTTGTTAGGTGAGTGCTGGGTGGGTCTTGTTAGGGGGAGTACTGGGGGGGTCTTGTGAGGTGAATGCTGTGGGAGTTTGTTAAGTGAGTGCTGGGGTCTTGTTAGGTGAGTGCTGGGTCTTGTTAGGTGAGTGCGGGTGGGTCTTGTTAGGTGAGTGCTGGGGGGGTCTTGTGAGGTGAATGCTGTGGGGAGTCTTGTTAAGTGAGTGCTAGGGTCTTGTTAGGTGAGTGCTGGGGTCTTCTTTGGTGTTTTGCTGGGGTCTTGTGAGGTGAGTGCTGGGGTCTTGTTAGGAGAGCGCTGGGGGCTTGCTAGGTGAGTGCTGGGGTCTTGTTAGGTGAGTGCTGGGGTCTTGTTAGGGGAGTGCTGGGGTCTTGTTAGGTGAGTGCTGGGGTTCTTGTTGGTGAGGTGCTGGGTCTTTTGAGGTGAGTGCTGGGGTCTTGTTAGGTGAGTGCTGGGGGGTCTTATTGGTGAGTGCTGGGGGGTCTTGTGAGGTGAATGCTGGGGGTCTTGTTAGGTCAGTGCTGGGGTCTTGTTTAGGTGGTGCTGGGGTCTTGTTAGGTGAGTGCTGAGGTCTTGTTAGGTGAGTGCTGGGGTCTTGTTAGGTGAGGGGCTGGGGGTCTTATTAGGTGAGTGCTGGGTCTTGTTAGGTTAGTGCTGGGTCTTGTTAGGTTAGTGCTGGGGTCTTGTTAGGTGAGTGCTGGGGTCTTGTTAGGTGAGTGCTGGGGTCTTGTTAGGTGAGTGCTGGGGGTGTTATTAGGTGAAGATGGGGTCTTATTAATAAGTGCTGGGGGCTTGTTAGGTGACTGCTGGGGGTCTTGTGAGGTGAGTGCTGTGGTCTTGTTAGGTGAGTGCTGGGGTCTTGTTAGGTGAGTGCTGGGGTCTTGTTAGGTGAGTGCTGGGGGTCTTATTAGGTGAAAGCTGGGGTCTTATTAATAAGTGCTGGGGTCTTGTTAGGTGACTGCTGGGGGTCTTGTGAGGTGAGTGCTGTGGTCTTGTTAGGTGAGTGCTGGGGCCTTTTTAGGTGAGTGCTGGGGTCTTGTTAGGAGAGTGCTGGGGTCTTATTGGTGGAGTGCTGGGGGGCCCTGTGAGGTGAGTGCTGGGGTCTTGTGAGGGGAGTGCTGGAGGTCTTATTAGGTGAGTGCTGGGTCTTATTAGGTGAGCGCTGGGGTCTTTTTAGGGTGAGTGCTGGGGGGCTTGTGAGGTGAATGCTGGGTCTTGTTAGGTGAGTGCTGGGGGTCTTATTAGGTGAGTGCTGGGGGGCTTATTAGGTGAGTGCTGGGGTCTTATTAGTAAGTGCTGGGGTCTTGTTAGGTGACTGCTGGGGGTCTGTGAGGTGAGTGCTGGGGGCTTGTTAGTGAGTGCTGGGGTCTTGTTTAGGTGAGTCCTGGGGGCTTTGTTTGGTGAGTGCTGGGGTCTTGTTAGGTGAGTGCTGGGGGTCTTATTAGGTGAGTGCTGGGGGTCTTGTGAGGTGAGTGCTGGGGTCTTGTGAGGTGAGTGGTGGGGGTCTTATTAGGTGAGTGCTGGGGTTTGTTAGGTGAGTGCTGGGGGTCTTATTAGGGGAGTGCTGGGGTCTTATTAGGTGAGCGCTGGGGTCTTTTTTAGGTGAGTGCTGTGGGTCTTGTGAGGTGAGTGCTGGGGTCTTGTTAGGTGAGTGCTGGGGGTCTTATTAGGTGAGTGCTGGGGTCTTATTAGGTGAGTGCTGGGGTCTTTTTTTGGTGAGTGCTGTGGTCTTGTTAGGTGAGTGCTGGGGTCTGTGGAGGTGAGTGCTGGGGGTCTTATTAGGTGAGTGCTTGGGGTCTTATTAGGTGAGTGCTCGGGGTCTTTTTGGTGAGTGCTGGGGTCTTATTAGGTGAGTGCTGGGGGTCTTATTAGGTGAGTGCTTGGGGTCTTATTAGGTGAGTGCTCGGGGTCTTATTTGGTGAGTGCTGGGGGTCTTATTAGGTGAGTGCTGGGGGTCTTATTAGGTGAGTGCTTGGGGTCTTATTAGGTGTAGTGCTGGGGGTCTTGTGAGGTGAGTGCTATATTTATATGTATATATATATATATTATATTATATATATATATATATATATATATATATATATTTATATTTATATTTATATTATTTTTATATATATATATATATATATATTATATATATACAGAACAGGCCACATGGGGATAGAAATCTTTAATTCAAGATCTTTCGTACTCTCATGCATCGTCAGGAGCTATGCAAGGTAGAAGCGTCCCAGCATCGACACTCTCCTATCTTGGCTTTCAGATAATTTTCCTCTTCTATCCGTTACTAGACTTCTAATACTGCATAGCTCCTGACGGCGCACGGCAAAGAGAAAGATCTTGAGCTAAAGGTTACCATCCCCATGTGGCTTGTTCTGGATTGTCGGTGTATTAAGAGATAGTAACATTGTATATAAATCAATGACGGGATCGGGATTCGAACACGCGGTCTGAAGTAACGCCACGGACTGGTAATTGCAGACCAGAGGATTGAATCTCCATCTCCACTGAACTGTCTCGTTTGTCCATTTACGATTTTTTCAGCAGAAATCCATGCAATATTTATTGTAACAAATATCTTGATAGGTAATGATGTTCTCTTGATAAGGAGTTGTTAGTGTTGAGTACAATGACCCACTCAGCAGGTACAATGACCCACTCGGCAGGTACAATGACCCACTCGGCAGGTACAATGACCCACTCGGCAGGTACAATGACCCACTCAGGAGATACAGTGACCCACTCAGCAGATACAACAACCCACTCAACGAGAGAATTGTAACCCAGAGAGACTTAATGTTGACATCCTCCCACCAGGTTCTTCCAGCCGCTGACTCATAAGCACTGGGAGGGGGTCGAGCCAGTTAAGTTCCGGCAGCAGTTACAAGAACTCCGTGGCCAACAACCAAAGGAACAACGTTAACCTACCCAACCAAAAGACTTTTGGTGGGTTAACGTTGAAGATTATAACGTTTACACACACAAAAGAGGTGTTGTATATCAACCTTGGTTGTGAAATTCACCCAGCATATTCTTCGTGTGTAAGATATTCATTATTACAAAAAATGACATGTATTTTGCAATTATCCTCCACTAAAATTAAATTTTATGTGAAATAAAATACCTACCAACGAAACGTGGCTGAATTTTTTTTGCTTATCATGTCTAATAATGAGTATCTTTAAGATTGTCTTTCAGTGGGAATTTACGTATTTTTCTCTTCCTATATAAAAACACTCCATGGTACTCTAGCCTCTGTTTACATCAATATCTACGAAAGTCGTGTGATTAAGTCTAGCTCAGACACAGTGTACAGCTGTGTCTATAAATTTCCCTGCAGCACTTGTGCTGTCTTCTTGTAACACATGTCACAACTTATTTTGCTACACGTGTTAATCCTGTTACACTATTGTCATGGCTTGCTTAGAGTGCGTTACCATGTCTGTATAGCACTTGTGTGTGTGTGTGTGTGTGTGTGTGTGTGTGTGTGTGTGTGTGTGTGTTAGTTACCATTTTGTCCTAGGAACATGTCGATTAGACACTAGGCCTGTTGTATATGTGTGTGTGTGTGTGTGTGTGTGTGTGTGTGTGTGTGTGTGTGTGTGTGTGTGTAGGTGTGAATGTGAATATGCGAGTGTGTGTGTGTGTGTGTGTGTGTGTGTGCTTGTGTGTGTGTGTGTGTGTGTGTGTGTGTGTGTGTGTGTGTGTGTGTGTGTGTGTGTGTGTGTGTGTGTGTGTGTGTGTGTGTGTGTTATTTGTATATTGTTCCTTTTTTTTATTCTTTATCGTGTGAATTTTGCACACCTTGACGACCATAATAAATAAAATCTCCACTTTCCCACAGTGTTTACCATCTTTATTAATCTCGCAGTTTATTACTTCTTAATTGCGTTTTTATCCTCCGCAAACCTTATTTAACAATAATCAATAATTAATGAATATAAGGATTAAGAAAAATATATTAATTTTCGTTTAAGTAAAAATCAAATTGTGTACAAAATTAATTTTATTGGCAAGACAATTTACACATCTTGTGTCATGTCTTAAGAACATTTCTTATACACATAAAATAAATGAAAGAGATGTAGTAAATTATGCGACGGGGACAGAGTAAGGATTAGAACGACACTTTACACACCTCAACCTTTATCATATCATAACCTGATGAAGGTCTCAATGAGCGAAACCTCGCTTTAATCAATACGTTTCCTCTGAGTCTTTGACTTACTACGTCTCACTTTGCTGTCTATCATTCATGCTTTGAAGATATATCAAGTTTAAATCAAAACTGAAGGGAAAAATTTCACTTGGTTTGTGAGGTTTACTAGCATGAAGCCCAGAGTGCTGTGACTCTCTGTGTGATCCTCTCCTGGAGGGTAACCACGTCGCTGGTGCGGCTACTATTAGTAAACACTGGTAGTGGTGAGCCTGGTGAAGGTGCGTCCGAGTGTGAGTCTCTCACGGAAGACTGGTTACTGGTGCAGCGCTGTTAGTGGCGCTTCTAGCTATCGCTCGCGGCGTGTTAGTGCCTCCAGCACCTGGCTAGAGTATCGCCTGGCGTTCTCGCTGTTGGGTGTACGTAAGACAGATAATATACCATTGGATGTAGGTTCATGGCACCAACAATGATTGAACCTTGTGGCCTTAGCTTGTAACCTCAGACCGTATCTAGAGCATCACTCTCGGTGCCTCCACACTGCTCACTGCAGGTTCTTGTGCAACTGCTGTCAGCGGAAAATCATACCTGACACGGATTTTAATTATACAATGATTAACTCAGTGGCTTATCCAAGGCAACGATTACATAAAAATGTCACATTTAAACAGTAGTTCGCCTGATTTCAAGTCTCTCCTTCAGTGTATTGTAGTGTAGTCGACTCTTAAACGCTTTAATTAAACGCTGGCGTGTCGGATGCTGACTGATTCAGGAAATCTGTGAGATTGAAAGTAGAAACGGTAGACAAGACAGTGCCTTTAGGGATCAGAGAGGAGACCCCATCTTTAAAGACGACACGAGATAAAGTTTTTACATATAAGTCATGATGATATTATGATGATATTGCTCATGTGAGCATTTTGTCACAGAGTGCCTCTTTCTACTCCCCGACCTTCATGTTCCGGATCGTTTTATTTCTTCTTGGCGACTGTGACTGCTGAGTTTTGGGCCTGCTGGGGCTGTACACCAGAAGCAGGAACAGCACCAGGAGAATGGTGGTAGTAGAGTTCCCCGGAGTTGTTGATGAGGTACTGTCCATCACCCTGTGCTATAGCGGCCCTCAGGGCAGGGTTACGATACAAAGCTTCCTCTGAGACATCATAAATCCCAGTGCTGAGCATCTGCCCCAGGGCTCTCACACGGTCGTCGTGAGTTCCAGCACTCCTAGTCAAGGCACCCTACAAGGAGGCAAGGCAGGGAATATCGTTACATACATAAATTGTGATATTACAATATGTAAAACAACCACTATGAAAAAATAGTGAACTTCCAAGCGATTTCGTGATTTCTCACATTGCTTTTACAGGTCCTTGATAATGTAAGAAATCATGAAAGTGCTTGGAAGTTCACTATTTTTTCACATGTGTGTAGCTCTTAATTTATAAACACTACCTCCTCTTGATGTACGGACACTGTGAGATACACACCTCTCAGTGTATATACACTTCATTACAATTAGGCAAAATGTGACTTTTGGTTAAATGTGCTTGTAAATAGATTTACCAATTAACTAATTTACTAAAGATTCAAAACGCAGAAAAATTTTTTCCCCAGAATACACCAGATACACGAATTGTATTATGCAGTTGTCTATCCAGAATCAACAGTGAATCAGGAGAAAAGTGTAAAAAACTAGAGAATTCACTTACACCAGCAACAGCATTTTGACTCAGGAAGTACTGAACTGTTTTGTTTTCGTCTGAGTCGTTAAGGGGAATCCGTCTGGACGGCGCTCTAAACGTGGCTAAGTTCTGTGATCTCACTGGGAAAGAAAAAAAGAAGTAAGAGTCATTTTCGAAATCATGTCATTTAGGTCTGTAAGTAAGGCTCACATGACAACGTATGATTTTATTTTCACTCTGTCGCGACCGAGCCACGGGGGGCGTTGCCCCACCGAAACCCTCTCCAGGTAATCTCCGGTAAACTCTGTTTCCCGAAATGCACCGCCATCGTGTTCTTTAGGCTTAAAAATTTTTATGTAAATAACTTGGTATACTGCAGAAAAGAACTAAAGTTGTATTGCATTTTAGTTTTGTTGCCACTCGGTGCTTCCTTGAATATTTTCCCATGGTTTGATATATTCAGAAAAAGCATTGGCTTATCCCAGCTCCGCCGCTCCCAATTCTACTACCATCAAACACGGGTACGGATGGGGATTAAACCTCGGCAAATAGTTGTAAAACTCAAGGGCAGCGTGTTAGCCACTGGGCCAGCTGGCTACAATAAGATTCATCCATCTAGGTATATTTATGCACCATAGGGAGGTTCACTCGGGTTCAGCCCCCACCCGTACCGTGGTTAGTTTGCAATCGGTTATTACGATTTCGTGAGTTCCGCAACACCAAACAACTATCGCAACCCCCTTTTTTCATCACCTTTCGCCAGAATTCTTCATTCTCTGTGCTATTCATCTTTGTTATCATTCATCTTCGTTTTTATCATTCATTATCACTTTTATTATTCATCATTACTGTCATTTTCACCATTATCACCCATTGTAATTATCCTTTATTAACACATGTAAACACCTTGCAAAGACACCCTGAGCATCTCTCATCAACATCACCATCTTCACCAACATTCCCCAACAGCATCTACACACACCCAACATCAAAATCGCCAGTGCTCACCAACACCTGCCCAACATTTTCCCCATTCTTCTCCACTAACTACACCAACAACCACCACCAACACCCACCATTCGAACCCCGGGTGATCTCCACCCGTTCCAACACAAAGATACAGATTCAAGGTTCCTTAACCAGAGGTTTGGTAAGTTGGGGCAGGAAGATAAATAGGTAAGGATGGAATGTAAAAAAAAAAAAGGATACGTGGGGGTAATAAAGTGGCCCAGCCACTTTAACACATATTAATATAGGTGTGTGTGCGTTCCTCACGAAAATTTTCCAGCAGTTCTGGAAACATTCTTACCTGGCCTGACGTACTCCAGCGACACGTCCCGAACACCGTGTTCAAGCGAGTCACTGTGGGAAAAGCAAAGCAAAATGAATTATGGCATAAATGATGTGATGATACTGGCAAACTGTGGAAGAGGATACCTGTGTACAGTGCTGGGCACTTGTGTACAGTGCTGGGCACCTGTGTACAGTGCTGGACACCTGTGTACAGTGCTGGACACCTGTGTACAGTGCTGGACACCTGTGTACAGTGCTGGACACCTGTGTACAGTGCTGGACACCTGTGTACAGTGCTGGACACCTGTGCACAGTGCTGGACACCTGTGTACAGTGCTGGACACCTGTGTACAGTGCTGGACACCTGTGTACAGTGCTGGACACCTGTGTACAGTGCTGGACACCTGTGTACAGTGCTGGACACCTGTGTACAGTGCTGGACACCTGTGCACAGTGCTGGACACCTGTGTACAGTGCTGGACACCTGTGTACAGTGCTGGACACCTGTGTACAGTGCTGGACACCTGTGTACAGTGCTGGACACCTGTGCACAGTGCTGGACACCTGTGTACAGTGCTGGACACCTGTGTACAGTGCTGGACACCTGTGTACAGTGCTGGACACCTGTGCACAGTGCTGGACACCTGTGTACAGTGCTGGACACCTGTGTACAGTGCTGGACACTTATTGGAGGAAACATTTCGCCACGAGTGGCTTCGTCAGTAATAATAATAGGGATAATGAAGACACTGGTGGTGAAACGTTCCCTTTTAATAAATGTTTTGAGCTGTACACAAGCGTCTTCCTTCAGAAAAAGAATTATGCTTAAAAATTAAAGGGATCTAAGATTTTATGGAGACAGGCAAGTGGAATTAACTCACAGAGGAGGTAGTGGATTCTGCAGTCACGGGAAATTAAAAAAAAATGCATATGCGACAATGAAAGATGGAATATCAAGATCATATTTCTACTAATGTAACTGCAAACAGGAAATTAGTAATAAGTAATTTCACACACACACACACACACACACACACACACACACACACACACACACACACACACACACACACACACACACACACACACACACACACACACACACACACACACATCTTCTTGGCCTTTGACACAGTTCCTCACAAGAGATTAGTGCAGAAGCTAGAGCATCAGGCGCATATAACAGGAAGGGCACTGCAATGGATCAGAGAATACCTGACAGGGAGGCAACAACGAGTCATGGTACGTAATGATGTATCACAGTGGGCACCTGTGACGAGCGGGGTCCCACAGGGGTCGGTCCTAGGACCAGTGCTATTTTTGGTATATGTGAACGACATGACGGAAGGGTTAGACTCAGAAGTGTCCCTGTTTGCAGATGATGTGAAGTTAATGAGGAGAATTAAATCTGATGAGGACCAGGCAGGACTTCAAAGAGACCTGGACAGACTGGACACCTGGTCCAGCAAATGGCTTCTCGAATTTAATCCTGCCAAATGCAAAGTCATGAAGATAGGGGAAGGGCACAGAAGACCACAGACAGAGTATAGGCTAGGTGGCCAAAGACTGCAAACCTCACTCAAGGAGAAAGATCTTGGGGTGAGTATAACACCGAGCATGTCTCCGGAAGCACACATCAATCAGATAACTGCTGCAGCATATGGGCGCCTGGCAAACCTGAGAACAGCATTCCGATACCTTAGTAAGGAATCACTCAAGACACTGTCACCGTGTATGTCAGGCCCATACTGGAGTATGCAGCACCTGTTTGGAACCCGCACTTGATAAAGCACGTCAAGAAACTAGAGAAAGTACAAAGGTTTGCAACAAGGTTAGTTCCAGAGCTAATGGGAATGTCCTATGAAGAAAGATTAAGGGAAATCGGCCTCCTGACGACACTGGAGGACAGGAGGGTCAGGGGAGACATGATAACGACATATAAAATACTGCGTGGAATAGACAAGGTGGACAAGGACAGGATGTTCCAGGGAGGGGACACAGAAACAAGAGGCCACAATTGGAAGTTGAAGACACAAATGAGTCAGAGAGATAGTAGGAAGTATTTCTTCAGTCATAGAGTTGTAAGGCAGTGGAATAGCCTAGAAAATGACGTAGTGGAGGCAGGAACCATACACAGTTTTAAGACGAGGTTTGATAAAGCTCATGGAGCGGGGAGAGAGAGGGCCTAGTAGCAACCGGTGAAGAGGCGGGGCCAGGAGCTAGGACTCGACCCCTGCAACCACAAATAGGTGAGTACAAATAGGTGAGTACACACACACACACACACACACATACAGGGGGCCAGGAGCTGAGTATCGACCCCTGCAACCACAATTAGGTGAGTACACACACACACTATGATTCGACCCCTGCAACCACTAATAGGTGAGTACCATTAGGTGAGCACCAATAGGTGAGTACCAATAGGTGAGTACCAATAGGTGAGTACCAATAGGTGAGCACCAATAGGTGAGTACCAATAGGTGATCACCAATAGGTGAGTACCAATAGGTGAGTACCAATAGGTGAGTACACACGTACATACACAAAACAAAATCATTGTTAGTTTTTCAACACAGGTTTATAATCCGAACAAAATCTTCTGTTTAGGGTTCACTCGTAGGATGACTTGTTTAGTTACTGGTAAACTAGTTTTCTACATATGGCAATTGAATGAATAGAAAATGACACTTTTAAAGGCTAACTATGAGAAATTTGATCCCTTCAACAAGTAAGATAAGATAAGATTTCGTTCGGATTTTTAACCCCGGAGGGTTAGCCACCCAGGATAACCCAAGAAAGTCAGTGCGTCATCGAGGACTGTCTAACTTATTTCCATTGGGGTCCTCAATCTTGTCCCCCAGGATGCGACCCACACCAGTCGACTAACACCCAGGTACCTATTTGCTGCTAGGTGAACAGGACAATAGGTGTAAGGAAACGTGTCGAAATGTTTCCACCCGCCGGGAATCGAACCCGGGCCCTCCGTGTGTGAAGCGGGAGTTTTAGCCACCAGGCCTCATAGAGAGGCGTAGATAAAGATGTTTACTTTCTTAGGATACATTGAGGTGACATTGGATAGTGTGGATGAAGGTTAGCTGCAGTGTTATGAAAATATTTTACAACATCTGAGGAAAGCGCATGTATGCAAAGCACAGATAGTTCTGGATTTATTGACTGACAAACCTTACCTAAGCTAACCTACTCTCGGTCACCCGTCCAGCTATTGACCAGCAATATGTCGGATGGTCTACCAATGCTGCCTGCCTCGAGTTCTGGAAGAAGAGACGCAAATACAGAATAATGCAAACCTTTATTGACAGTAAAGGAGTGTCAATAAAGGATCGCATTTCACTGATTTGCTTTTGTGTTTCCTTTTCATTGTCTAAGACGTCTCTCCCTCGAGAGAACTACTTGAACCCCCCACCCTCCCTACCTGTATATAACTACCTTTCTCATGTAGATTTGGATATTTTCTCCCTTTTCTCAGTTCCATTTCACCTATCTTACCACCTTACCATCACTTCTTTTCCTACCTTAACTTGCCTTACCCATTTAGCCACATCACCCTTACCCCTCGGGTAACTTACTCTCTGACATAGGCGAAACGTCCCACGGGGATGGCAGACACAGCTGCCACCACAACAGCAAGAATCACCTGAGAGAAGGGAGAAAAATAAATATTTTAGTCTCCCTTAAAAATCACATCAACACACATAACAAAGAAAATGGATAAGACGCCTGACTTGAGAAAGATATACTTCATGTGGTCTCTATGAGGGTATATATGCCTATTTACAGACAGTGGATCGTGGCTCACATCTGAAAGCCAGAGGTCAAACTCTCGGTGACTGGAAACACTAAAAGTGCCTCCTTACACCTCTTGACCTCCCCTGTGGTTCTCATCCTGGGGGAAAGGATCAACAAACCACAACGGAAATAAGCCAGATTATGAGTGGCTTTCATGGGTTATTCTATGTTACTGACACTCCGGGTTAATAATTCTAACATAATCCTGCTTTTCTTCTACAGGCAGATAGACTGGGAGTAAAGATAGAGAGAAAGAGAGAGAGGATACAGCCATAATAAATAAAGGAAAACATAGTGAGAAAGTGATTTAGAAAGACTGGAGATACGAAATGGAACAAAAAATACATCTGAAAAGAGAGAGACAGAGAAAAATGGATATAGATAAGAAAGAGAAATAGAGAAAGATACACAACCTGCACATAGAAGAGAGAAGCAAATGCAAAGTTCTAAATGTTGGACAGGACAATAACCATGCCACATATAAACTAAATAATGTAGATCTTAATATTACGGATTGCGAAAAAGATTTAGGAGTTCTGGTTAGCAGTAATCTGAAACCAAGACAACAGTGCATAAGTGTTCGCAATAAAGCTAATAGAATCCTTGGCTTCATATCAAGAAGCATAAATAATAGGAGTCCTCAGGTTGTTCTTTTAACTCTATACATCCTTGGTTAGGCCTCATTTAGATTATGCTGCACAGTTTTGGTCACCGTATTACAGAATGGATATAAATTCTCTGGAAAAATGTACAAAGGAGGATGACAAAGATGATCCCATGTATCAGAAACCTTCCCTATGAGGATAGACTAAGGGCCCTGAAACTGCACTCTCTAGAAAGACGTAGAATTAGGGGGGATATGATTGAGGTTTATAAGTGGAAGACAGGAATAAATAAAGGGGATGTAAATAGTGTGCTGATAATATCTAGCCTAGACAGGACTCGCAGCAATGGTTTTAAGTTGGAAAAATTCAGATCAGGAGGGATATAGGAAAGTACTGGTTTGGTAATAGAGTTGTGGATGAGTGGAACAAACTCCCAAGTACCGTTATAGATGCCAGAACGTTGTGTAGCTTTAAAAATAGGTTGGATAAATACATGAGTAGATGTGGGTGGGTGTGAGTTAGACCTGATAGCTTGTGCTAACGGGTCGTTGCCGTGTTCCTCCTTGAGTCAATGTGACCTGACCTGACTAGGTTGGGTGCATTGGCTTAAGCCGGTAGGGACTTGGACCTGCCTCGCATGGGCCAGTAGGCCTTCTGCAGTGTTCCTTCGTTCTTATGTTCTTATGTTCTTATGAAGACGTTTCGATCTGACTTGTTGGGCCAAAACGTCCTCATAAGCTCCTCTCTCCTATGTGCGGGTTATTTGTGTATTGTACCAGTCACGGTATTGTGACTTTTTGTTTTTTTCAAATAGAGAAAGATAAAGAAATACAGAAAGAGAGGTCTCTACCAAAGAGAACTTCCAAAAATGGCGTTTTTCTGTCTTCTTCTAGCGTAATTTTAATGGATAGATCCTCGTTATTGATTGTGGAGACCATGGTATTGATTTCGAGTTTTTTAGAATAAATTACGAAAATGTCGTCCATGTAAGGTAACGGGATGAGAGGGTCGATGGGTGAGCCCATGGCCATCCCATAACGTTGCCTGTACTTGTCGAATAACGTTGCCTGTACTTGTCGAATAACGTTGCCTGTACTTGTCGAATAACGTTGCCTGTACTTGTCGAATAACGTTGCCTGTACTTGTCGAATAACGTTGCCTGTACTTGTCGAATAGCGTTGCCTGTACTTGTCGAATAACGTTGCCTGTACTTGTCGAATAACGTTGCCTGTACTTGTCAAATAACGTTGCCTGTACTTGTCGAATAACGTTGCCTGTACTTGTCGAATAACGTTGCCTGTACTTGTCGAATAACGTTGTCTGTACTTGTCGAATAAGGCACATGTGCAACATTTGGGTGCACCTTTATTGCCGAAATGTTTCGTTAGTACAACAGTCTTCTGGGGTGAAATCAATGGAGATATTAGAAAACGTTTCGGTCCTGGAACCTTGATCATGTCTAGCCTAAAGGTCCCTGCACCGAAGCGCTTTTTAACATGTCCTAGTGTTTGTTCACGTGTCTTTTTAAACCAATTTGTCGGTATCAATTACCAGGGCTTATACCAGAGGCAAATGTATTACTGGTGGCAGTAAAAGTAGTATGTCTTATTCATCAGCTCGTCGGTATTGTGTCCCATCAGTAATATAACACTGCATCCACTAACTTTCCCAAAAACTGAAGCAGCCATAGTTGACACAGTTCGATGAGGTCAACGATGACTTGAGTCACAGCTGGGAGGCTTGTCTCATCACAGAACTCGCCCCACAGAAGTGCTACGGCTGGTGTTGTGAGTATATTGGAAAGAAGGCAGTTACAACAAAACTTGCTGGCTTCTTGTTCCTTAAGTTAGCGTCTCTGATTCAGTTTACGTGGTCAACCGAATGAGACGGGATTAGGTGATGGTTCTTAACAGTCTGGATAAGTTTGGAAAAATATTTGGGTAACAGGGACTAGTTTTGAAAAGGATTTGCCGAGTATAGGCCAGTATGCCAACTGCATTGTTCCTCCAGTGTTGTGCTCCTATGTCAATGTTACGCGAGTACAAATGCGAGTCTCTGTGGTAAGCTGCATATTCCTGAAGTAATCGGTCTAAGAAAGACCTATAGAACTTAAAAGTTAGAGTTATGAAACTTGCTTTGCCTTGCCTAGTCCTCCGGAATGTGATCTGAGCCTCCTGGTTAGGTAAGATTTGTCAGGAAACAAGACAAGTGTTTCCTGACGTGGGTCTTAGTCATATGATGACCCGCCACTGGAGCTTTTGGCCATCTGACCGAGACCTTCCGCTGGCTTACCCCTCCACCCCTTCAAAACATCATGGTTATAATTATAACCATCTGCCGCCTGAATGACGTAAGTCTTATTTGCTGGAGTTCTTAAAGGCTCCTAGGTACCACTGTCGTCTTCAAGACGACAATTAGCTTTCTAAGCTTTCTAAGCTTGCTAAGCTGTGCATCTTGGAAGTGCAAACTGCATTGTCTTCCACTCTCTTTATTCAGTTGAAGGGGACTCCAGTGGGCGAAACGTCTCACACTAAAATGCCCAAAATGTTGCACACACGAGTCTGTGTTTCCCTAGTTTGTCGGCAGTGAAATACCTAGTACCTGAACTAAGAGTACGTACGGTTGGTACTCAAGTTCAGAACATGCAGATCAACGTACACAGATCGACGCACACAGACCAACGTACACAGATCAACGTATACAGATCAACGTACACAGATCAACGTACACAGATCAACGTACACAGATCAACGTATACAGATCAACGTACACAGATCAACGTACACAGATCAACGTACACAGAACAACGTACACAGATCAACGTATACAGATCAACGTACACACAACAACATACACAGATCACCGTACACAGTTCAACGTACACAGATCAACGTAAGCAGATCACCGTACACAGTTCAACGTGCACAGATCAACGTACACAGATCAACTACACAGACACTACACATAACGTACACAGATCAAACGTATCACAGTCACGTCACAGATCAAGTACACAGATCAACGTACACAGATCAACGTACGTAGACCAACGTACACAGATCAACGTACACATCAAGTACACAGATCAACGTACACAGATCAAAGTACACAGATCAACGTACACAGACCATCGTACACAGATTAACCCACACAGAAGAGCCACCGAGAAGATAAAAATAATATTTATTTCCCAGCATGCACTTCACGAAGCACTAAACTCGTGTGGGTCAGTTAGCTCGAGAAGTGTTGGTGAGTCGATCCTCCGTCCGCTCATACTGTCCCCGGGTCTTTGACCAGGCAAACTGTTAGTGGTTACATCTGGCATATCAAAGTCTAGAAGACAGAATTAGGGAGGATTTATAGGATTAGATATTTAAATTGGGAAGAAATGGTGGATTACCTAATCCCACTCATGAGGGATTTTGTTAAATTATAATGGACAGTTTTCATGGGAATTTACGAGGGCAATTCTCATGGGTAATTCTCATGGGTAATTCTCAGACATGGGCTGGTCACACAGAGGGGCCACGATTAGCGGACCCACACGGTTTTAGCGCTTCGTGAAATACAGTAGCTATACACAAAGAGCCAGTACATGGGAGAGAGGAGCTTAGGACGACGTTTCGGTCCGACTTGGACCATTTACAAGTCACACAAACACACCAAGGTGAGGGAACCTGTACACAATAGTTATAAAGAGAGAAAGAGAGAGAAAGAGAGAGAGAGAGAGAGTACTCACGAGTCGCTGCATCTTGAGAGAGTGTGAGTGTGTAGGGTAGTGACTGTAGACTGGAGCTTATGACTGAGGAAGCTGCTTGTGGTTCTTATATACCCCAAGCCACTGACCAGATCAGGATTCCTTTTTTGTCTGTGTGCGCCGCGGTGCTGCGCATCTCTGAAGATGTTACAGAAGATGCAGGCTAGGCGGTCGTATTTTCTTTTTCCACGCTTCCCAGTTACAAGGTATTACTCTTTCAGTTAGTGTATTCTGTTTGCCGTTTTGAGGCGATGTTAGTAGATGTGGTTGTATTGTAAGGGGTTGATGGGGTGGATTGTATGGGGGTTTCTGTTGGTTTAGAATCAGTAGGAAGTTCTTGCAAGGAGGGAGGGGGGGAGGGTTTATGATGGCACCTGTTGGAGAGACAGGACAGGTGAGGTAAAGGTTAAAGGCTGCTGGGATAGTACACTATAAAAACTTTCCTGGAGTGAATCCACATTTTTCATCTTTACTCGTCCTGCTCATGTCCTCCCCTCCTCATCCTGACTCGTCCTGCTCATGTTGTCCCCTCCTTGTCCTGACTCGTCCTGCTCATGTTGTCCCCTCCTTGTCCTGACTCGTCCTGCTCATGTTCTCCCCTCCTTGTCCTGACTCGTCCTGCTCATGTTCTCCCCTCTTCATCCTGACTCGTCCTGCTCATGTCCTCCCCTCTTCATCCTGACTCGTCCTGGTCATGTCCTCCCCTCTTCATCCTGACTCGTCCTGGTCATGTCCTCCCCTCTTCATCCTGACTCGTCCTGGTCATGTCCTCCCCTCTTCATCCTGACTCGTCCTTCACCGGACTGAAGAATCTCCAGCTGGTCCAAACATATCCACAATTAATGTCTTAATACTCACCTAGGTGATTTTCTTAAATTCTCGTGTTCTTCCATTTTCACTATTCCTCCTGCTCCTCCTCGTGTTCAATCATCCTCACTCTCCCACGTCCTGTAATCATCCTCACTCTCCCACGTCCTGTAATCATCCTCACTATACTTTGTTCTGCTCATGTCTTCCTCCCACATACTCCTCATCCACGCCATCCTCATTTCAATTGGCATATTCTCACCTCACCCTGAGATCCGGTCTGCCTGATCACATCCAGCACTCATCTTGGGCCCAACACTAAATTTATCTAGACTGTTTTTCCATAGTTAACAAATCTCAGTGATTAACTAGGCCTAAATCTCCCTTAATAATGTGGCGGCCAGCTCCTATCCTAGCATTTAAAGTTTATTTCAAATTCTAGGACATAATCCTAAGGCTTCCATCCCATATTCAGGTTGGAATTAGATGAACAATCTTCAGCAACCTTGAGGACAAGCTTCTCAAGGTGTGCTCTTGATATCTGATTAAAGAATCAATAAGAACGAAAACTTTGGGCGTGGACTCGACTCGATGATCCTTGAATGTCAAATAATATTGATATTGTTATGTATTTGGATCACCTGATTATCTTTGTCCTTGGGTTGATAAAAAAGAAGAAGAGGAAGATGAAGAGGAGGAGGCGGAGGAGGAGAGGGATGCTGGTGGACCAGATGGAAACAAGATACACAGAGACAAAATCAATGGGAAAAAACTTCAAGCACAAGGTATCTACGACTCCACTTCAGAGTAGGTTTCTCAGAGGCGGCTTTGAGGAGCCACTTACTCAGTGCCAGCGTACTTCAGGGTACACTGCTGGTTGTTTAACGAGGGTTTAAAGCTTATTAAGGCTGCTTATCACCTGTTTACCGTCAGTTTAAAATACACTAATAAGTACAATAGAGAATAAAGTAAACGCTTAGTAAATATACACCGACATATACACCTCTCGGTGCATAAATCCTTCGTGCTTGTTCTAATGCCGTTGTTGTTGTATATGTCAGGGGAAAATCACTGACTCTATGCAGTAGGCGCAGCAAGACTGTGATAACACATGTGAAGGTGAAGCAGCCGATGGTCATACAGAGTATTATGAGTCCTGATACAAATAATGATGGATGATATCACAATGAGAGTCAGAGGTCACCGAGGATAAACACTTCACTTGAGCTTCACAGTTTAATTAATCAAAGCGGAAGACTTGTCTGCCGGAAGGATGACCGAAGCACAACCCGTAAGAGGAAACTTATTAGTATATTCATACAATGGCGCTAATTCCAGATGGGTGATGCAGCAGCTGGGGAAGCATCTGAGATAACCTTTGGGTCACGAGGTCTACACAGGTGTCAAGACATTTTTTCCTTGAAAATACGATAAAAGAAAAACCACACAGTATCAATCACGGGGGAAATGACCAGGATCTGTGTAAAGTGAATATAACACTTCGGGTGACTGAGGATATACGATGCCGACACGTGGATAAATAAGACACATATACAACCCATATATTGCACATCGTATCAAAACAGAACGTGTTTTTAATACAAGAAACTCTGAAGCTGCATAATGAGGAAGAACCGGAAGCACAGTCACTTGCACATGTTAACGAGACAGCCGCTAGCCAACATATACAATGAAGGCATCATTTAAATGGTGTTATTACCAACGCCAAGATCACATGAAAGTCGAATGATGATATTCACAAGGAGAATAGTGCCGAGAACACCTCCTTGAGGGACCCCCGTCAAGTCTACAGTACACTCGCCACTGCACCTCCTTGAGGGACCCCCGTCAAGTCTACAGTACACTCGCCACTGCACCTCCTTGAGGGACCCCCGTCAAGTCTACAGTACACTCGCCACTGCACCTCCTTGAGGGACCCCCGTCAAGTCTACAGTACACTCGCCACTGCACCTCCTTGAGGGACCCCCGTCAAGTCTACAGTACACTCGCCACTGCACCTCCTTGAGGGACCCCCGTCAAGTCTACAGTACACTCGCCACTGCACCTCCTTGAGGGACCCCCCGTCAAGTCTACAGTACACTCGCCACTGCACCTCCTTGAGGGACCCCCGTCAAGTCTACAGTACACTCGTCACATGCACCTCCTTGAGGGACCCCCGTCAAGTCAAACAGTACACTCGACCACTGCACCTCCTTGAGGGACCCCCGTCAAGTCTACAGTACACTCGCCACTGCACCTCCTTGAGGGACCCCCCGTCAAGTCTACAGTACACTCGCCACTGCACCTCCTTGAGGGACCCCCCGTCAAGTCTACAGTACACTCGCCACTGCACCTCCTTGAGGGACCCCCGTCAAGTCTACAGTACACTCGTCACTGCACCTCCTTGAGGGACCCCCGTCAAGTCTACAGTACACTCGCCACTGCACCTCCTTGAGGGACCCCCGTCAAGTCTACAGTACACTCGCCACTGCACCTCCTTGAGGGACCCCCGTCAAGTCTACAGTACACTCGCCACTGCACGTCCTTGAGGGACCCCCGTCAAGTCTACAGTACACTCGCCACTGCACCTCCTTGAGGGACCCCCCGTCAAGTCTACAGTACACTCGCCACTGCAATTCCTTGAGGGACCCCCGTCAAGTCTACAGTACACTCGCCACTGCACCTCCTTGAAGGACCCCCGGTCAAGTCTGCAGTACACTCGCCACTGCACCTCCTTGAGGGATTCCCCGTCAAGTCTACAGTACACTCGCCACTGCACCTCCTTGAGGGACCCCCCGTCAAGTCTACAGTACACTCGCCACTGCACCTCCTTGAAGGACCCTCGGTCAAGTCTACAGTACACTCGCCACTGCACCTCCTTGAGGGACCCCCGGTCAAGTCTACAGTACACTCGCCACTGCACCTCCTTGAGGGACCCCCCGTCAAGTCTTCAGTACACTCGCCACTGCACCTCCTTGAAGGACCCCCCGTCAAGTCTTCAGTACACTCGCCACTGCACCTCCTTGAGGGACCCCCCGTCAAGTCTTCAGTACACTCGCCACTGCACCTCCTTGAGGGATCCCCCGTCAAGTCTACAGTACACTCGCCACTGCACCTCCTTGAGGGACCCCCGTCAAGTCTACAGTACACTCGCCACTGCACCTCCTTGAGGGACCCCCGTCAAGTCTACAGTACACTCGCCACTGCCCCTCCTTGAGGGACCCCCGTCAAGTCTACAGTACACTCGTCACTGCACCTCCTTGAGGGACCCCCCGTCAAGTCTACAGTACACTCGCCACTGCACCTCCTTGAGGGACCCCCGTCAAGTCTACAGTACACTCGCCACTGCACCTCCTTGAGGGACCCCCGTCAAGTCTACAGTACACTCGCCACTGCACCTCCTTGAGGGACCCCCCGTCAAGTCTACAGTACACTCGCCACTGCCCTGTACACTGATACCAACTTTAATTATACTCGTTCAGTCAATAGGCTTTCAGCCTATTGTATAAACACTGTATTTATTTTAATCACTATTTTAAAAATTGCATTATATAGATAGATAAACAGATAGATAGATAGACAGACAGATAGATAGATAAATAGATAGATAGACAGACAGATAGATAGCCTATTCTTTGAGGCCTGGTCACAGACCGGGCCGCGGGGGCGTTGACCCCCGAAACTCTCTCCAGGTAAACTCTCCAGGTATACTTCAAATCGCAGCAATGGGTTTAAATTCATACATGCAAATGGTTTGGCAACTGAGTTGAGGATGAGTTGAAGAAAGTGGCAAGTAGCGTCACTGAAGCGAACAGGCTGGGACAGGTTGAATGTAAATAGGGAGTGTACCTTTGTGATGTAAATAGGGAGAGTACCTTTGTGACATAAATAGGGAGTGTACCTTTGTGATGTAAATAGGGAAGTGTACCTTTGTATTTTCAACTGAAAGCTCAGGAGAAAACAGAAGCATTGTTAGATAGGTGGACAGGTGCTGCATGACCCCTACGGGTTTAGTGCCCCTATGGCTGTAATAATAATAATAGAGATATATAGATAGATAGATAGATGGATAGAGAGAAAGGGAAAGAGAGAGAGAGAGAGAGAGAGAGAATGGCTCTGGAGGAAGGCACTTCCTGCTGGCAGAGACAAACAAGGTAATAAAGAGAGGAGGGAAAGAGACGTGGATAATGTGGAGGGGCGGAGCAGTAGAAGAGATTACACAATCTCAACCAAGTCGTCTTCTTCTCTTCTTAATCTTTCTTCTTCTTCGTCTTCTTTAAAGTCTTCTTCTTCTTTCTTCCTTTCTT